AAATCTCTCCTTTATTTTTCCCTTCCAATGCATATATCCGGATGCACTTTATATACTTCCTCCTTTGTGCACCTCCTGTTTGTTTATAAGACCCGATGTCTATTCTAATCTAACCAGCTCAGTTAAAAAAAAAACAAAAAAACAGAGAGGCGGTCATTGTTACAGAACCGCTCTAGCTGTTGATAAAAATACAAAGCAGCCTAGGTCATGACCAACCTGCATACACTGCTCTTAAAATAAAACATTAAAGGCAAAATATTTAAATACAGAATATTAAAAAAAACTATGTTAAGGGAAATTAAATGCAGCCACAAGAAAGGCTGGAATAGATTATAAGTGATTGAAGTCTTTCAAAGGTGATTCTCAGAGAGCTTTTAGAGGTGTGTTCTAAAAGCAATCCCACAGCATGATGCTGCAAACACCATGCTTCAGAACTAGAACAGCTTTTTATAGCTCAGATATGAAATAATTAGCTGGATCAGATATCGGGGATTTGATATCTGATATTGTAGTTCTGATCCAGTGTTCTTAACATGTGACATTATTTTTTGCTGGATATTTGTTCATAAATAATATGAAGTCCGAACATGCTTTGGTGGCACAGTGGTTAGGGCACATGGCCCATATACAGAGGCCGCAGTCCTTGACGCAGGTGACCCGGTTTCGACTCCGGCCTGTTGTCCTTTCCCGCATGTCTCTCCCCCTCTCTCATACCCCCCTTTTCTGTCAGCCTACTGTTCATAAAAATGAACCACTAGTGCCTCAAAAACGATGGATATATCAAGCCTAAAGCCTTCACTGACGTGGCAAGATATACGTTTCATCCAATCAACAGTTCAATTGAAACTCTGAGTTCTCCTGTGTTGTCAGGATGGGATCACTAAACGTTTGGTTAAAAACAGTGATTCATGTTGTTGATTAATGGTTGGCTAGCATTGAAGCAGAACTAAAATATCTATGAGAAGTGAAACAAGCGTGTTCATATGACCGCCTTGTTTATTTGTGCAATACAGAGACTGACTTGCTTAAACTTGTGGTGTAATGGAGAGCTTACTAAGTGGAGACTCCTGAACAGAGAAGAAGAGAAATGTTGAAATGTTCATGCTTATGTCTAACAGATGGATAAAAGGTATCTCATTTTTTCCTATATTTACAGTCCAAAGGTCAGCAGCACGTCTTTGTTATTCTTTATTGTTTGTTTTATTGAGATAAGGGTTTAGCATTAACAACCAGCACACCTTTTATCACAAGGAGAGCAAATAATCCTTATCTTTATGACTTTTTTTCTGGATAAAAATATAAATTGTGTAGCTTGTTATTATTTCATTCCTAAGGGGGCACCATACAAGACTTAATTAGTAGGTAGAGTTCACAAGAGTCACAGCTACTCTGAAGGTTGTTAAAGAACTTTAGAGGGGAAGAAGCATCATGCAGATCAAGGAGTCCAGTGGATGGATCTGAGAGAGGTTTAAAGCAGGGTCGAGCTATTTTTTTCTATACATCATGTGAAAAGTTTTCATAAAAGTTTTCAGAATAATATGGCCCAAATAAAAAACTATCAACACATGTTCAACCAATTAAACTGAGTGAGCAAGCTGAGCATTGAAAAAGAAGCAAGTAACAACCATGTGGAATCTCTGGAGGAGCTGCAGAGACTTTTACAACTCAGGTGTATAAATCTGTTGGCAGTACAACTATTTGTCATGGCGTTCTAAACTCTAAATGTACCAGGGTGGAGCCAGTGCATCGTCATGGAGACACAGAACAAAAGAATAATTAGTATATTAAGTGAGCCACAAAACCAAGGGTGAAGACTCTAAAATAATAACTGGGTGATACGGATGGAGCTTACAGATGACTGTAATTTCTAGACTTAGACAATTATTATTGTCCCTTTGTATACACAGAGTGTATAAAAATAGAAATTTCATTTTGTACAGCTTTCATGTCATTTCCATTTTCTTAAAGTACAGCAGAGATCAAATGTGGGAGAAAAAATGCATTGATATGGTCAGTTTGATGCAGAGACTGTGACGATGACGATGATTTAGACTTCTTTTATCATTCAGCTTTCTTTTTCATTTTTTTTTTCCAGTTTTTTTCAACATTCAGCTGTCGGATGGCGGTTGGGATGAAGCTGTTTTGGAATCTGCTGGACCTGCATTGAATGCTGCAAAGCCTCTTCCCAGACAGCAGAGGCTATTTTTTTAAAAGTAATTTGGAATGCTAAATACTGAATTGAGGATAAATATGTTACAGTCTCTTCAGTCTGCGCATACAATTAGATATTTTTGTATCAAACTGAGAAAACTGATCTAAATGGGTAAAGTTTTATTTAACAAAAGTGTATTTGACCTTAATTTGAGCAGTTAAATAAGATGATCTGCCACGTCAATGTGTTTTTTCCTTTAAAATAATATAATTACATTGAAACAAGATAATAGTGTTCTTCTTATTCTTATTAACCCTTATTAATTATTATTATCCTTCTTTGGATTCTTATTCTTATTTAAAACTTAAATTATCCTATTCCTTTGGAAAACTGTCTTAGGCTACGTTCACACTGCAGGCCTTAATGCTCAATTCCGATTGTTTTGTTAAATTCCGATTTTTTTGCGTTGCCGTTCACATTTCAAATGTATGCGACTTGTATATGATCTCCTGTGTGAACTACAGTCATACAACACAAGTGTTCCACATGCGCAGTAGAGGACGCAATGACGTCACAGGCCAGCATGTTCTGTGTTTACGGCAGTAAACATGGATGGTAGTGCAGGAGCGCATCTAGTGATTTTTCCCAACCATAAAACACTATCTTTTCAAGATGGTGAAACATAAATACTGCTCTCCGCATCATCGTCCACCATGGTTGTTGTTTTTCTTGCCGCTTCTTCATAGCAAGAACTCAGAATAATGACCTTTGTCTGGAATTAATGGCTTTCAGGTCAGATGAATGCGACCTGGCCCAGCACAGGTCGAATTTCAAAAGATCAAATTTGTATCGGATTCAGGACCATAGAGCCAAGTGTCCTGGATCGCACTGGAAAAAAAAATCGGATCTGTGTTGTTCAGACTGCCATGAAAAGATCAGATACAGGTCACACATGGGCCAAAAAATCTGATTTGGGTCACTTCAGGCTGCAGTGTGAACGTAGCCTTACTGACCTTCTCAAATAAAAGGAAAATGCTCTTAATTTCAGAAAACTTGGCTTACTTAAGATTTCAGATTTTCTAGTGTATGTTTTCATTACAGGGGCCAGTATCTGTTCTTCAGGGGCACTAGCCCCTGTTGATCTCTGTCTAGAACCGCCCGTGGTATGTGCCGCACAAATCATGTCTTTAAAGGAAGGAGGGTGGCGAAAATAAAACTAGTGGTCCAAGAAATAACAAAGAAAGCCCAACAAAGAGCATCGGCGGTGGCAGACCCTTTTCATAGGGGCACGTGCCCC